ACCACACCCAGTTGCAAAAAGTGTGAAGTTTTAAAATCATACGAAGTTTCTATGTTCAATTATTAAAAGTTTTAATTGATTTCTTTTAGTGTGTTACAGCCAGATACATTTCTGAAAATCCAATAAAAATATACAGAATAATGTCACATTTGAGATGGTTTTACAGTTTACTAATTTTAGGAGCTATATATTTACTAAATTTCTGTTTGTGATAATGAAACAAAATAACCAGGGTCAATTTTAAAAGAAACATTTGTTATCTCCACCTCTTGCTTTATTGCAGGTGAATGGAGCCTATGTATGCTCACATATTTATACAAATCTAGTGAACTTAACAAGGGATCTTGCATGAATCAAAAGAACGACACATATGTTTTCTTTTCATGTGATCTCATATTCTATTTGCCCCAGAGCGGTAGATCAATAGTTATGTGCTCAGAAAGTGCTTTTCAAGAGTGTTGTGGAGTATAAAAAACACAGAGAAATCAATTTCGTTTTCCCATCTCAGGAGACTCAGTGCCCTTTTGTGTGGCTCATGGCAACAGTCATCTGAACTTTTAAATCTACATGCTCTAAACTCGGAACATTTGGAAGTAAATAGTAACATATTCAGAATGATTGAAACTGCTTTATTTGTCATCATTACCATGGTTACTAATAAATTATGAAGCTCCCATATGTGAAACTGCCAAAATGAGCATTTTATGAAGCAATTTACCCATATATGAAGGCTCTGGAAACTTACTACTTAAAATTTGTGCATTAAGACAAGCACTATATTTGTACAAGACTTTGAAAAGTATAAGAAAATATAGTATGTTGAGAGGCAAGAATCCTAGTATCTAGTTCTGTTTTCCATTTATTTTACTGAGATCTCCATCAAACTATTTAGCAATGAGTTTGTTACAGTATGTAACCAATATAAATAAGATTTATGAATCAAAAAACAGAAAGAATTGCAAATTATATCCAAGATCATCTTCTTTGATTAAACAAAAAATAGATAATATAATCGAAATGAGAAAATTAATACACGTATTAGAAAATATAAAGAGAACATAGCAACAAAAGTAGATATTTTGTGGGAAATATTCTATAAAGTCCATGAGAATACTAGAAAATCTTAACAATATTTTCTTGGAAATTGTGAACAGCCGAAATGGACTCAGAAAGAGGTATAAAACCGGAAATAAATGATCATGTAAGAAGTTAAAAATTTTTGAAGAACTCTTCCTCTAAAACACACATGGTCCAGATTCTTCATCTGTGAACTCTTTATTTCTTATACATTATACGTATTTCTAAACATAGACAATGTTAGAAATCTTTCTGTATCATTTTCAAGATGGTAAAGGCTAGGGAAAAAAAAAAACCTTCAAGAATCAGCACTTGAAAAGGAACCTACGTGATATTCTTTTAAGAAAATAGGTTTAAAAACCATAGGGGAAAAACCAGGAATTAATTCCAGCAGCATGCTAAAAATAAATTTTTAAAATGTTTTATCTAAGAATTGAATCAATGTGAGAAATGTATTAACGTAGTACACCAAATGGTAAAAATTTTAATAGTGTAAAGGCAGTTGATAAAATGCAACACCAATTACTGAGGAAAATAATTTTTTGTAATTGTAAATATAATGCTTTTAGCACATGACACATCATTTTTAAAGCCACTTGCCAGATTCCATGGAGTAGCAGCATTCCCATTAGAGTAAAGAAGAAGACAATGGTGCATCTTATTCCCATCATTATATTACTTTGTTCTGATAGTGCCACTGCAATGAGAAAAAACAACATCCCACAAGAACATATAAAGAGATCCAAGGCTAAGGAAGGCACATTCTAACTATGAAAATATATTAGCATTGGTCATCCATTCTGGTAGTAGTATGGATGTTTTCTACTTTTTTTTTGCTTCTCTATATTGTCTATACAGAATTTCTATTGCTTTTTTCAATCACTTTTAAAATGAGAAAACAAATATTGAGAAATCATAATGAAATAAGAAGAGATTATCTTCCCTTTTCAGATGAATGGCTTACATTGACTAAAACTCAATATTTCACTGTCTTCGATTCTAGTTACATAGATGACTAAAAGGTTATGAAGAAATTTGTCACTTTTAAGAAATGCAAAACTAAAGGAAAGCTGAAGCAGACTTCTATGTTTCTACTCTAGCAGCTGAGGCAGGAGGGTTGCTTGAGCCCAGAAGATTGAGGCTGCGCTGACCTAAGATGGTGCCACTGCACTCCAGCCTGGGCGTCACAGCAAGATCCTGTCTCTATAAAAACAACAATAACAAACAACAACAAAACACAGTTAAGTTCAACGAAGATGACAAAGCTGCATAATAGCATGACCCCAGTTTTGTTTTTAAGAAGAAATGTACATATATTTACACACAAAAGAAAGCACAAGGAAGAAAGGTATATTCCAAATATTTAGAAAACATTAACATCGGTCATTCGTTGACACTGGTGGAGGTCATTCGTTGACACTGGTGGAATTACAGGTGATTTCTACTTTTCTCCTTGTGCTTCTTTGTATTTTCTAAAAAGAATTTCTATTGCTGTTTTAAAAAAGATGATGCAACAAACATTGAGAAACCATCATTCAAAAGAGATTGTCTTCTCAAATGAATGACTTACACTAAGACTCAGTGTTCTATTGTCTTCAACCCTAGTTACATAGATGACTAAGTAAAAGCCAAAGAAAGCCACTTGATACTTTTATGAAGTGTAAGGCTAAAGGAAAACTGAAGCAGATTTCTTATTTCTCATTTATTTGTTTATTTTTGAGATGGAGTCTTGCTCTGTTGCCCTGGCTGGAGTGCAGTGGTGCAATCTCGGCTCACTGCAGCCTCCGCCTCCGGGGTTCAAGCAGTTCTCTGCCTCAGCCTCCCGAGTAGCTGGGGCTACAGGCGCCTGCCACCACGCCCGGCTGATTATTTGTACTTTTAGTAGAGACGGGATTTCACCATCTTGGCCAGGCTGGTCTTGAACTCCTGACCTCATGATCCACCTGCGTTGGCCTCCCAAAGTGCTGGGATTACAGTTGTGAGCCACTGTGCCCGGCCGCTGAAGTAGATTTCTATGTCCTTAGCATATCTTTCTTCCTTGATGTAAGTAAAATGCTTTGTTATAATCTCTATGTGTATTGACTTTTCCTTCCCATGATGACTTTATCTAGTTTAACATTTCCCAAGATGACTTCATCTAGTCTAGTTTTATTTTTTTCAGATGTTAGCTAGGTGAGCTCTTCCTTCTGGAAATTTCCACTGCACCTAATACAGTGACATTTCTAGGATGGCTGCACTAAGTTGTGGCTGCCTCTCCTTTTAGTACAGCTTTTCCTGACTCCGTGTCCTTGAAACCAAGGTGAAAGAGATGAGAAAAAGCTTCCTCAGCTGGATTTAGCTGACGGACATGGGTCCTTTACAATAAAATACCACCCTTACAAGGAAGGAGAAATGATGTGTTTCTCAAAGTGCTGCAGAAGTCTCATTGTTGATATTTTCCTCATTGTTGCTTTGGAAATTCAATGTTTCTATTTAACACCAGGGTCACCCAATCTAATTCTGCCATTCATGATTTTCGAGGAACGGGGTGGAATTTGGGGACTGAATTTATGAAGAGGCAGAACGGTAGAGAGGAAGGCCCTGACATCAGCCTCTGGGCGGGGCATTGATTGGCACCTGTGGAATGCCCACCGGGGAAAGATTCTTTTACACTCATTATCTTAATTCTCAGAGCATCTCTGAGGTTTTGTTGCAACTTCAGGGTTCTTTTTTAACTTTTATTTTAGGTTCAGGGGTACATGTGCAAGTGTGTTATACAGGTAAATTGTGTGTCACATGAGTTTGGCGTACAGATTTTGTCATCCAGATAATAAGCATAGTATTCGATAGGTAGTTTTTCGAGCCTCTCCCTCCTCCCACCCTCTACCCTCAAGTAGGTCCCTGTGTCTGTCGTTCCCTTCTTTGTGTCCATGTGTACTCAATGTTTAGCTCCCACTTATCAGTGAGACTATGTGGTATTTGGTCAATTCCAGTTTTGACCAATGATGACCAGAGACTCAGAGCAGTTGGGTATGGTGGAGACAGGGTTCAAGTGTAAGTCAACCCATCTGGTAAAGTGACACCCATCCCACTCATCCCATTGCTGCCAGTGACTTCAACGCTGGAGCCTCAGTTCCCTCCCATGTGAGATGATGATAACAACAACTGTGAAGTGTCTGAGGATTAGAGAAATAACCCAGTGAAGGTACTTCAGAGTGGGTAACTTTTAATTACTGTTGTATTGCTGTACTGACCAATGTAGTCAGTAGCCACTTGTGCCTACTTAAATTAAATTAAACAAAAATTCCATTTCTCAGCAACACTAGCTTCATTTCCGGTGCTCAGTGGCCTCCTACCTCTACTAGCTACCATATTGGATAGCACAGATACAGAACATTCCCATCGACACAGAATGTCCCTTGGACAGTGCTGCTGTGTATCATTAACTTTGATTTAATTCAAGTGCCAGAACTCAGGGGTAAACACAATCATTCCCTATGTGTGAATGTGCAGGTACGTGTGCAGTTTTGTTATATAGGTAAATTGTGTGTCACGGGAGTTTGGCGTACAGATTTTGTCATCCAGATAATAAGCATAGTATTCGATAGGTAGTTTTTCGATCCTCTCCCTCCTCCCACCCTCTACCCTCAAGTAGGTAAGAGGAAGCTCCGAAGCTCTCCTGGGATGTTCACCCGCTGTGGTGAGAGTCAGGTGAGGCCCTTCACAGAAGGGCACCCTTTGTTTACCAGAGAGAAAGGAGTCACGTTTGTTTCCTGAATGAAGATAGTCTGTCTATGAACCAGGTATCTCAGCCTCGAAAAGGTGAGAAGTGCATGCCAAGAAAACCTCTAGACAGGACTCAATTCTTCCCATGATGCACCTAACCAGAGAATCGCAGAAGGGGTCGGGGAGGATTCCAACTGTGAGGCAGCAGAGGAAACATTCTTTTGAGGTAGAGTCAGGGTGGGGAAAACCATTAATCTGTTTTCCAAACAAGTTTTCATAAATAACTGACAGGAGATGGGCTGTTTTTATGGAAGTATTAACCCAAATGATGGGTGTTAATCATTAAACCTTTTAGGTGGTGGCTCGCTTGTTTCTCTGATATTCTAATCCGGGTCACAGAATGGCTAAGGCAGATTTAAGTGCAGCGTAGATTTTTTTTTTCCTCACTTTGCCTTGTGTTTTCCACCCTGAAAGAATGTTGTGGCTGCTCTTTTTTCTGGTGACTGCTATTCATGCTGAACTCTGTCAACCAGGTATGTAGCCTTGAAACTTAAAAATAGATGAACAGTTTTCTACATGTTTGACAAGTCGTTGACTGAAAGAACTCTTTATTTTTCTAAATCTGCAGACATGTTGTGGCTTGAAAGTTGGGGTGGTGAGTGTTTAATGAGTTTGAAAGAAAATATTAAACCGTCTAAGATGATTTAGGTTAAACTTCCAGGAGTATTTGGGGCAGTTTAATTGTAGTTCTGTGTTCCATTAGTTTGAGTTGCATTACATATTAGGATTTTTCAGACTCTGTTTTGGCAGATCTTAATCATCATATACTGCTCTTTCTTTTTTCTTTCTGGCAGGTGCAGCAAATGCTTTTAAAGTGAGACTTAGTATCAGAACAGCTCTGGGAAATAAAGCAGTAAGTGGAGCACCTGAGTGTTCTTTTAAAATTTTGTTTGCTAATAACACTGTGCTTTCTCTAATAATGGGCCTGTCTGCATAGTTACCTTAATCTTGAATAAATTATTTCTAAAGACCTCAAATCTGATCTTCTCTTAAAGATAGATTATAGAATAATATGAATTTTTAATAAAGTAGGTTCGCCTAAAGTATTTAATCGGTGGTGTATGCTAGACAATATGTGAAGTTTTGTGCCACACAAAACAACTTAAAAAACCGGCATCTCAACTCAGGATAGTGAAGCCAAGTGGCCTGACTCAGTCGCTCAGGTCTAGACTGGGTCTACTCCTCACCGTTGTGGTCATTTGAATTTTGTTAGCCTCGATTTTGTACTCATTGAAAAGAAGGGATGGTTCTACCCACATAAAATCTTTCATAGCACAAAAAATTTCCAATTCGAACATGAAGTTTCTTCAATTATTCTCAATTATCAAAGTCACATATGAAATATATGCTTATGAAATAGAAGTTTAAAAACTAGTCATAGGGCCCATGTGGCTATAGGAATGGTGAAGATCATTGAATTAAAAAGACAGTATTGTCTAATTCTAGTTTCAGTTTCCCAGTGTGGTCTGCAAAATTTTTTCCCCAATAGAAGTTGGTGTTAAGATGTCTCAGGCTGGAAACAGAAAAAAGAGTGCTAAAGAAACTTAGAGGTATTCTGTTTGCAGGCCAATTCATCAATTTGTTATTTTATTATTTACTCAATGGGTAATGATTGTTGTAACAGCCAGCATTTATTGAGAACTTATCTTACTTTCCAGCTGGGGCTCTTCTAAGCACCTTACTCCTATCAAATCATGTAGCCCTCACAACAATGCTTTGAGGAAGGTAGTAGTACAGGTGTTCGTATTCCCACTGAATGGATGGGCAAACTGAAGTTCAAAGAAATTAAGTAACATGCTCAATATTTCAAGTCATCAAGTGGCAGAAGTAAGATTTGAGCCCAGGCAGTCTGAGCGCAGAATGCACTGTCTCTGCTAGTGTGCATGGTTGGCCATCCCAGTATCCTCTAATAGCAGGTACCATGCGGAATGCTGGGATGTAATGGTGATTAAGGCTTGACTTTACCCTTGTGGAGCTTATAGTAGTAGTAGAATTGGTAATCTATTAAATATTCAGTAAACCAAATGCAAATGTGCAATCTTGACAAGTATTACGGGAAGAATTACAAGGGCACTTCGGCTTTGTCAAGGGCCACAATACCTGGCACTTACTGTGACGTCTGAAGCATGAGTTGAAGTGAACCAGGAAATGAAAGAAGGAAAGGCAGAGGGAACAGCATGTGCAAAGGTTTATCCCAGGAAGGATCTTGGTGAGAGTAAAGGTTAGAAAGAGGGCAGAAATATCTGGAATTGGGGCAATGAGGAGGAACGTGGCAGGTGATGAGCTTAGAGAGAGAGGAGCGGGAAGGCCAAGGAATATGTGGGCTGTGTTAGGGAGTTTCGTTTTGAGATGTAGGGAGTGTTCAAGAGCATCAAATGCTGTTGAAAGGCCAAGCCAGAAAGCAACTGAAAAATGCTGATTGTGTTAGACAACGTGGAGGTCAATGGTGATTTTAGAAAGAGCTCTTTTCCTGGGGTGGAGTTGCTGGAAGACAGGTAGTGGGAAGTTAAAAAATAAATGAGTGGTGAACATGTTGAAACAGATGTGTGGACAACTCCTGGGAGAATTTTGGCTGTGAAGGGCAAGAAAGAGACAGCAGTAGGTAGAAGAAAGGAAGACTGAGTAAAGTGGTTTGTTTTTGCTGTTGCTTTAATGGGAAAGTGTTGAGCTTGTTTAAAAGACAATGAAGAGACTCCAGTCAGAGTTAAATACACAGAAAGGAGGGGAACTGATATTGTTTAGATCTGAGAAGGGCAGAGGAGAAGCATTCCTAATATAAGTGACGGAAATGGCCACTGATAGGCATAGTTCTGTCTGGCACTTCAGGAGAGGAGGCGGCTAAGACATGTGTCTATGGAGGAAGTGTTGTATCTTGATGTCAGGAGGATGGGAGAGTTGAAATTGATGAGATATATCTATAAATTATGAAGCAAAACCATTTAATGAGAGTGAGGTTTGAGAGAAAACTTTGGAAAAAATGGTAAAAAAAACAAAAAACAAAAAACGTTGACCATCAGTTCTCTCTCTAGAGAGAGGTTTGAAATAGTTATGTGACCCAGGAGAAAGAGAACTGGTGGTGAAACCTTAGGGATTACCAGGCAATTTGGGGGTAGGTCATCATGAATTTAGAGTTAAACCAACTAACCTTGTTTTGTAATTTTCTCTAGTTATGCCAATAACTTGCCTAAAATGTGGGGTTAGCCATGGTTTGAGTGTTCTTAGATGTGTGCAAAAAGCAAGGTGAGCTGGGACATTTAAGGTCCTGGCACATGTTATTGAAATGAAGAACCAAGGAATCTGAACTGGTAGATAAATATATGCAATTAACTTGTACCACTTGGTCTGTGAAGCCACATGTGGGATATAAAGATGTGTTCAATTTCACATTGAGCACCTATTATGTGTCAAGTATATGCACAACAGGTAGGTAAGCTGCTATGGACATTCTTATATATGTATTTTCCATATGCTTTCTTTTTTGGGAGTATTTACCCAGGGGTAGATTAATGGATCATAAAGTACACAAATGTTTAGCCTTAGTAACTCTTACCTTATCCTCTCTTAAGTTGTACATTTTCTTATTAGTATATGTGCCCAATTCCTTTTATAAATGGAGGCTGTCTCTTTGAAGTATTTGAATGCCCTAGGAGAAATACACTACATCCAGTGCACAAGCTTTCAATCCTTTCACACTTGCCCAAGAGAAGTTGGTTCCACTGGCAGGATACCCAACCCAATCTAGAACTGCATCAGTCCTGTTCTGATCTAAATAGCTTGGAGCTTTGTTCTGTGACCAAAATTAGACTCCTACCCAGCCAGCTTAAGCTCTTGTTTTTGAGACGGACAAATGGAAGAACAGGAGATCAGGTCAAGTTGTTGCCAAGATCTGAAAAGCAACTGAAATTCATGTCCCAGGGAGAACTGGCTAACATCTTTGTTTTCATTTTCTGCACTGAGCTTATTATTCTCGTTTGTTCTTGAGCAGGCTTATTCCTCGTGTCTGCATTCTGTTAATAAGCCTTCCCTGTCTGAATAGTGTTTCTGCACTATTTTTAATCAGATCCATTTCTTCTTCATGTTTTATTCATTTATTATTAGGTTAGATCATAGCTACTCTTATTCTGAATAAAATTAATTTTGGAAACAAATGCATTATCAAAAACAAAGAGCTATGCCATGAGTCAGTTACTTTTAAACTTTCATAGTATAATATCAAATGAAAAGTTCACATTGAAAGATTGAAGGAGCACTTCAAATAAGACCTAAAGTTGACATTAAAATGCAGTATTTAACATTTGCATGTGAGAAAAGTGATTTTTCCATTTCCATTTTCTGTTGTTGTTGTTGTTGGAGACAGGGTCTCACTCTGTCATCCAGGTTGGAGTGCGGTGGCATGATCTTGGCTCACTGCAACCTCCACTTCCCAGGTTCAAGCAGTCTTCCTGCCTTAGCCTCCTGAGTAGCTGGGACCACAGGCACATGCCACCACGCCCGGCTAATTTTTTGTATTTTTAGTAGAGACGGGGTTTCACCACGTTGGCCAGGCTGGTCTTGAACTCCTGACCTCAGGTGATCCACCCATCTTGACCTTCCAAAGTGTTACAGGCTTGAGCTCCACTCCTGTCCCCCTTTTCTGTTCTTTATGGTGGCATCTTACAGCAGAGTTACATAAAGTGGTACTGAAGGAGAAAACGGTGAAGTGGAAGAAGCAACTGAAGAAAGTTTAAGGTTCTATGTTACAGAGACCAAGGCAGGAGGATCACTTAAGGCCACACATTTGAGACCAGCCTGGACAACACAGCAAGACCCCATCCCTCCTCCTTTCCAAAAAAAGAATATGTTATGAAAATATTTAGGAGAAAGGAAAAAGTACAGCACAGTCATAAACCTTATCCAGAGAAGGTAACTGAGTAATACATTTTTTGTTGTTGTTATTTAGGAGTCATTTGTTTTTACTTACTATCCTCACTGCCACCAAAGAGGAGAAAGGCAGTAACGGAAAAATATGTTTCCCCATCCCAGAGTGAAACTCCAATCCTGACAATGTCCTTGTGATATACTAACCCCCACCATCACCAAGTTCTTCCCCTCAGCTTTTGCCACTTTCTCCCTTCCTGCTTCTGCTTTAGTTGCTACCTTCCTTGGTGGTCCTTAAACAGCTCAGTTTTTTTTTTTTTTTTTGCCTCAGGCTTTTTGCATTTGCTGCATTGAGGAGCAGAGTGAGTCAAATATACTATATTAATTTGCTAGGGTTGCCATAACAGAGTAACACAGACTGGGTGCCTTACACAACAGAAGTTTATTTTCTCTCAGTTCTGGAAGTCAAGATGTCACAGGATTGGTTCCTTCTGAGGGCTGTGAGGGAAGGATCTGTTCCAGGCCTCTCTCTTTGGCCTGTATGTAGATGGCCGTCTTCTCTCTGTGTCTTCATATCATCTTCCCTCTGTGTCCAAATTTCCTCTTCTGAGGACACCAGTCATAGTGGATTAGGGCCCACTCCAACAACTTCATTTTAACTTAATCACCACTGCAAAGACCCTGTCTCCAAATAGAGTTACATTCTGAGGTATTGCAAGTTAGGACTTCAACATGACATTTTTTTGGTGAGGACAAAATTCAGCCCATAATATGCACACACATTCAAGTTTCTGGCTAAGAAAATTTTTTAAAAATTGTACTGATGTTAATAAAGGCAACTGGGAGGGAGTTTATGAGGGAAAAGAGAAAGGGAGGAAGGAAATGAAAATGGACTATATATGGCCAGGATGAAATGTCCAAATGGCCTGTTTGTTGGCTGGCTACTGATGCTGCAGGTTCTTAGGAGGATAGTGCAACAGCAGATACACCAAACTTAGAATGTCCAAGAAACCCTACCCCAAACATTATGGGGATATAATTTATCATGGTCTCCAGTATCTAATGTATGAGAAAGCAGGGTGTGTGTGTGTGTGTGTGTGTGTGTGTGTGTGTGTGTGTGTGTGTGTATGTGTGTGTAGAGAGAGCGAGAGGGAGGGAGAACCACTGTGGGTACAGTTAGAACCAATGGACCATATTTACCCCCATACACTTTGTTTTCCTTCTCTTTCAGTATGCCTGGGATACCAGTGAAGAATATCTGTTCAAAGCGATGGTAGCTTTCTCCATGAGAAAAGTTCCCAACAGAGAAGCAACAGAGTAAGCAAATAATGAGAAATCTTAACTGATTATTTACAGTATTATTTGAGATAGTGCATTATTTCAAACCTTGATCTTGAAAATATTAAGCTAATTTTTCGAAGAGATTCACATTTTTACTAAACTTAAAAATAACTTTTATAATCTAACTCATTTTATAGTTTATATCATGTTCCAACAATGCTCTTTGTTTAATAGGTAATATGAAGATAAATATCCCTCAAAATTGCAGGTATATATCCTAAGCTTTCTACATTTCTATTGTGTGTGTGTATATACATATATGTATATATAATTTTTCTTGCAGATAGATACCAAAGAATTTTACTCTTATTTTGAAAATAACCTAAGTGTGTATAAGTTCTTTCCACTCTTGGTATTTATCATAGTACCTTGTTTATTTTCTTAAAAGCACTTAATATGACTTTTAATAATTTTATATTTTTGTCTATTCTGGAGGAATCTTCTCTATGATGTTTCCTTCTTTCTCTATTTGTGGTGAGGGTAACATTCCTGGTCTGTCTCTATTCCCTTCTTCACTCCTCCCCTTGAGAGGTAAATTGACTTATGTGATTGGTGAGCTGCAAGGAGAACCTGGGCATGGATTCCTTTCTCCTTATGAGGTAGCCATCCCCAAATGATAGCAGGCATCTCTCGTACAACTCCCTAGCTAAGTACAGAACCAGGCCCTGCATGCACAGGTACATACACCCTAAGGCTGTACTTGTGGTTTGCAGCTGAGGAGCGTTTAGATTAGTAGGTGCCATGTTATTTGGGGGGTTAAATATTGTGTGTATTACTCCAGTACAGGACAATACCTGCCTCAGTTATGCTCTACTTGAGACAATGGAGGTGAATATATTTATTTCAGGATTTTTTTTAAATTAGGAAGAAAATTTGCCCGCTGATTAAAGTCATATCCTCCAAACTAGCCTTTTATTTTGGTCTCCCATCTGTACAATGTTTTGTCTTCATTCTATAATAATTCAAGGCTCAGTATAGATGATTACTATTAATTGGTCTCCCTCACATCCATAATATCTGATGCATGGGATATGAATATAAAGAATGAAACAGAAGAGTGGAGTTTGAGGGAGCAAAATGAACACATGCATATTTGTGTATACCCACATGTGTATTTTTAATATACATATTTTAAATAACATATTAACATGATTTAAAAAATGAAAAGAAGGTATATAATAAAACAAAGCCTCGCCCTAAGTTCTACTCCTGTTTTATAGATCTTAAAATTATATATATTGTACTTCATGCCATTAAACTGCAGCATTCTTTCACAACTATTTATAATAACTTTTTTCAATAAAAATAAGGTGATTATATTACAAAAAATTGAACAGAGAAAAAAATAAGAAGAAAAGCCACTGGTTATCTCACAATGGTAACCCCTTAAATATTCTCTTTATATTTTCTTCTAGCCCTTCTTGTAAGCAAGTTTTATACATTGCTGTGTTCATGGCACTGTTAGTTCCTTTAAATGATCACGTTTCACCTAGTACATGACTAAGTTAAATTAAGTGTTTCCATTCTTAGAAAAATTTAATTTAAATATATAACATTTCAGATTGATTCTTGGGAGTTTACCTTTAAAATATCTTCCTTCAGAATCTGGAGCATTGTAGGAGTCTGTGAATATCTGATCTAGTTTATTTGAAAGGTTGTTTGACTTACAACTGGGCACTGGGGCTGGGTGCAGTGGCTCACACCTCCAATCCCAAAACTCTGGGAGGCCGAGGCAGGTAGATCACTTGAGCCCAGGAGTTCGAAACCAGCCTGGGCAACATGGGCAACCTGGTGAAACCTCGTCTCTACAAAAAAATGCAAAAATTAGCTGGGCATGGTGGCACACATCTATAGTCCCAGCTACTTGGGAGACTGAGATCACTTGAGCACAGGAGTTTGAGGCTGTGGTGAACTGTGATGGTGCCACTGCACTCCAGCCTGGGCGACAGAGTGAGACTCTGTCTCAAAAAAAAAAAAAAAAAAAAAAAAAAAAGAATTGGGTACACTGGATACATATTGGGTTGGTGCAAAAGTAATTGTGGTTTTTGCCATTGAAGGTAGTGGCACCTTCAACAAAAGTAGAAGCTTTTGTTGCCAGTGTCAGTTGTAAAAATCAAAACTGCAAAGCTAGACTGAGGATCAGTACACATTTTTCTGTAAAGAGTCAGGCAGTGTGAGTCCTGGTGATACTGCTATCAAGGGGATGAATTGACAAGCGAGATGTGTTTAAGATGCAATTCAGCTGCTGGCCTGGATTCCACATGCACTGCCATATTGGAAGCTGCACCCCCACATGAAGAGCTATGGGAAAGGGCACCACATAATGCAAGATTGGATTGAAAATAGCTTTGCGGAGAGGCTGCTTCTCTTCAGTGTGGCAGGTGGATGGAAGACACCAGTAGCTTGGCATATGGGTTAAGTTTTAAAGCCGCCTTCCAGAAATCTTTTGGTGCCAATGTGGGCAGACTGAAGGAGTGTGGCAAATATTCCTTTCCAGGATAGCTTCAGGATCCAAGTTTTGGGAACTGGCTGTTTATTGTCTCCCCTGCCCACCATTGTTTATCCACTAATATTGCAGAAAACTGTAAAGTACAAAGAATAAACCAAATCACATGAATTAAAAACAAAGATATTCAAGTAATTAACAGAATAATGAATAGTCTCACTTTCATCCCACCTTTTACCCAGGGCGATATCTACAACATCTCTTATATCAAGTTTGATCACCACCAGTGATACAAAGCTCATTGTCTCCTGAGCATGCCTCTTCCTATTTGGAAACATACAATTGGCATATACTTACAGTAGAAGCTTGCTTGGCTCTGAAAAAGGAAGTGATGTCTTGTTGGAGAGCTGATCTGGTCCAGTTACCATTACCGCAGGCAGGCAGTGGAAGAGAAGCCAGGGATTCCCTAAGAGGATCGGAGAGGATTAGGGTGTGGGCTTGCAGAGAGGGCTGTGGCATTTCCACTCCCTTAGGACTTGAACAGGGCTGGGAATGGGTTCCTGTGCAGATTCCCCAGTGCAGCCAGCCAGGGTGTTGACAAGTGAGTTCATGCTGATGAGTTGGTCCCCATTCCTTACGAGTGATGATGTGTTTGGAGTGATATTCTTGTTTGCATCCCTGCCTACCTCAAGTCAGGTAGAGAAGTGCTCATAGAGGATACAGTTGTCTTTAAGAAGGGAGACTGGCATATTTTTTTCTGGAGGGATGCTCCCCAACTTACAGACATTCTCAGGACCCCCTCAAGTTGCCACTACAGTAGCAGTAGCTGGAGTTCTAGAGAATATGATGGTGTCCCTAGCAACTGAGAGTGTGCCTGGAACAGAAACTGGTGGCTACCTCTTAGCCGGAGAAGTCTCATGGTGGAAGGCTGGCTTGAGCGCCTGTAACTGGGGAGAGAAAGAGAGCAGTTTTCTGAGCAGTCTGTAGTTGAATATATTCCTGGGGCCAAGCAGGGGCTTTGGAAGGGAACAGGATAGAGTCACTGCCTATTGGGCCCATGTCCTTAAGTGAGACAGGGCAAGGCAAGGCAGCAGAGTGAGGCTGGAGGCGTACACCCCTGGAGGCAGAGCTGAGATGGGGTGGAGGAAGTCGGTCAGAGCATGTCACCCATGTCAGGGGAAGATGCAGTGCAGAGGTCCCGGGAGGGGCCCCCGAAGGCTCCACAGGAGCATTCTGAGTGGAGAGCATCTGGACGCCCGCCACCACAGAGGACCCCTCACAGCAGGGGGAACCACAAGGGCCCTGGTCCAGGAAGAAGAATTTGGCCTTTCCTTATCTATCTCATGCCCCCATCATCTTGCTTTCCTGTCCCTAAGCGAGGAGAATGAAGCATGGGGGAGGGGGACACAGGCAGGGAGGGAGTAGAGCCCGGAGCAAATGGCGGGAGCCCGCCACTCAGGTGCCTGCTCTGGCCAGAACTGCTGGAAGGAGAGCAGCTGTAGGTGAGAGGCAGGAAGGCAGCTTTGGTTAGACTGGCCTGGATGCCTCAGTAGCCGGAAGTGACAGGAAAGCCACACCATCTGCCCCAGATGCTGTCAAGAGGCGAGGAGAAGGAGTGACAGAGTGCCCAAAAGGAACAGTGTGAGCAACATCAACCTCTTCCTTCACTGCTGTCCACGAGGCCGGCCTGTAGAACTATGTTGCTGTGGCTGGAGCCACAGGATCAAGTGACCTCTGCTGAAAGCCTGCTATGTGCTGGGCACTGAGATTCGAATGAGGGCTAAGACCAGGTCCCACACTGCACCAGGCCCACACCCAAGAACCTAGCCCTGGTAGACATTGTAGAAAGATAGACCAAATGTGACAGCCACAAGACAACTCTTTCAAAATCATCATTCACAGTTTCTGATATTAAATGCTTTTTTTTTGCTATTGCTGTATTTTTTTTAGAAGCAGAATGAGAGATAGATGGAAAAATGAAGTTAAGAGAAAGCTCTGGTTTCATTAGTTGAGGTTACTTGAGGTTTTCCTGGAACTTGGATTGAAGATGGCAACCAAGTGTTTTCAACTGTTTACAATATGATTTAGGCCAGATTTACTAAAACAGTTTCACAAGAATTTTAAAATGTTGAAAGGAATTTCTAAGGAAGCTATAATCTAATCCAAGGTTTAGTCTAATTCCCAGGTCAACTGGAAAGTTAATATGCCTAGTTTACTCAAACATCAACTTTTAGGTAATTTATCATTTTTAGCAAGAAAGGTAAAGTCTAACTCAGGCAAGTCTTTCTCTTTCTGAGTTAAATGGTGTAGGACATGTAATGGATTTCTCCTTCTGCCTAATTATTCAAGGATAAGTCTTGTGATCTAAAAAGAAACAACGTGCTGTTGTATCCACGGTAAGGGGATTAACGGTCTTGTGCTTGTAAAACAGCAGCCCAGCACCTATTTAGTCCTTTTGATTTCCAGAAACAAGAGCCAGATTCTTGCCACTCTTTGGAAGCAATTGGCCCTGTCTGGCGCCATTGATGAA